AACTGTCTCATTGCTATCTGTTTATCAATAAAACTTTGAAAAAAAATAAAAAATAAAATAAAATAAAATAAATTTAAAAGCTAGAAGGGCCGGCCAAATAGCTCAGTGGATTAAAGTGCCTGCAAGCAGGTGCAGGGGCTAGGGGTTCAATCTCTGGGCCTGCCATGCAGGTCTCGCCCTCAGAGTGCACTGAGATGGCAATTGAGACTGGGTGTGGCGGCGCACACCTGTAATTCCAGCTCTTGAGAGGCTGTAAATAGGCAGATCACTATGAGTCCGATCTAGTAGTGAGACCCTGGACGCCCTGTAGACCCTTCCTTAAAAATACAAACAAACTAACTAACTAACTAAATAAATAAATAAATAAATAAATAAGAGCTAGAAAATTACTACCTCTAGGCATAGTGGCACATGCCTATAATCCTAGCACTCAGGAGGCTGAGGCAGGAGGTTATGTGTGAGTTCAAGGTTAGCCTATAGTACATAATAAGTTCAAGGACACCCAGAACTACATAGTGAGACCCTATCTCAAAAAAATAAAAACAAACAAATAAATAAAAATTTTAAATGTTTAGAGAAACAGTTTGTTGGAAATACATTGAATTTAAAAATCAATTTAGGAGTAACTGGCATCTTTAGGATGTTTAACCACCCTATCCATATACATAATATAACCCTCTATTGATTTAAATATTCTGTTTCCCAAAACATTCTCCCCCAACCTTCTTTTTCAGATGTACTAATTTATCCAAGCAGTGAGCTATATCCCCAGCCCTTTTTACTTTTTATAATAATAAGTAGTTAAAATGCCCAGGCTGGGCTTGAATTTGCTGTCCTCCTGCCTGAGCCTCCCATACTAATAGGATTAGGCATTTTCTTCTTAAAGATTATATGTGTCTGCTGGCTTCTGGATTTGCTCCAAGATGCTCAATTTGCTAAAGGAAACAGGAGGGTCTGTTTTGTTGTTACCGTCTCACTGTTACCATTATGTCTTCTGTCCCTGGTATAGGGAAATATAAATGAGTTTCCTGCATAGATTGCAGAAACAGTCACTTTGCTTCAACTCTTACTAATTCTAACAGCTGGACTATTACTGTATTGTAACATGATTCTGCAAATCGTGAAAATTGTATATCTTTCTTTGTGATTTAAATTGTTTTCTTTATGTTTTTTAACTGGAAAAAGCTTTTAGTACAATGTTAAACTGGAAAGAGGACAGCAAGGATTTATATGCTGTTCCTGACTTTGAATGAAATTATTCAAACTGTTGATCATCATTTCCACTCAGAATAATGCTTGCATAGGTTTTTGGTAGACACGAGGGGTCTTATACTCCACAGACACGATGTGTTTTCATCATGAACAAGCACTGATTTTATCAAATGAATTTTCTGAGTATGTTGAAATGATCTTCCAATTTGTTCATATGATGTATTACACAAACAGCTTTCTAGTGTTAAGCCCCTCTTGCATCCAAAGATAAACCAAATTTGTTCATGATATATGTTTTCATTATAAACTGTTAGATCTGTTTTCTATTTTCTCTAGGATTTTTTGCACACATCCAGTTGATATTGGCTTACTATTCTTTCCTCTTTTTGTCTTTTCTTTTTCTGCCTAATACTATATTTATGACTTTATTATTATTATATGTCATATAAAATGAGTGGGAAATGATCCTTTTCTATTTCTTCATTATCATGATTCTATTTCTTCATTATCATGAGTGCTGGGGATCTACCTCCAAAATGTTTCCTTCAACTTTTCTCTAAAATTGACTCAGCTTTCTAACTTCTTTGTGAGAATTCCTTAATCACCGGATCTGTGAACTATTTACTTAAATGACTCCCCAGCTTATCTGTTACTTTCTATCTTTCTTAAGTTATGGTTTTTAGAACATTGCCCATTTCCTCTGTCCGAAGGTACAGTAGCACCCTCCTGAGCTTCCCGATCCCGCAGTCCCTATGCTTATGTCTCCTGAGCATCCCCAACACCATTCCATTTTGGCTTCTGAAGTTTTGACTTGACCACACAGATCAGATCTGACCCAGTAGTTTCCTCTTCCAGACCCACAAAGCAAACAGTAGCTGTGACCCCTGGGTCCTCTGCTCCTAGCCTACCTGCATCCGGCCCCAGGCAATTGGCTGACATGTGTCACTGGCTCATGGATGCCACCATGACTGCCTGCCAGGCTTCCTGGGATAAACACAAGGTCACAGCATGAACTTCAGGAGTCCATGAAGGTCTTGCCCTTGAAAAGATATATATAT